AAAAAAATAAAAAAAAAAAAAAAAAAAAAAAAAGAAAAAAAAAAGAGTGGAGAATGCATATTCTCAGGATCAAACATTGCTGAAACGCTTTTTCTTTAATAAAGAAGTCAAGGACGCTTTTAATTTTTTAAATGACATCACACAATCTTTTCTATTCATTTGTATTGTAAGTAACATCGTGAAAAAAATTCAAGGATATTAATAATATTGCTCATTTTTTTTCTTTAAGCTTGTTTCCATTAAATTTTTATTTATAGGAACGATTTAATGAATATAAGAGATAAGAGAATTTTGTCTCGCGAAATTTTGCGCAATTCATAATAACGAATGATCACATATCTTTATGATATAAACAAGAATCTATGACACACAAATCTGTTCATTATTTTTGTTTTGTTAAAACGTGCCATTGAATGTTTCTATGAGGTTATTGATTCACTGCGCATTACTAAAGAATTTTATCATTTATTTAACAATCATTTCTTCTAAGTAAATTATTAGAGATAATTATTTTGTATCCTAGAATTTTTTCACGATATAATATTGAATATTCTAATTTTTTTGAGATTAATATTTTTATATAACATCACTTCATGATTACCAAAGATGAATCGCGGTGACTGTTACGAAATCATCACTTATATATATGTATCACTATGCTATATGTATTACTAAAATATCACCAACATATGTGTTTCATACTTTCGAAACGATTCTCGATTGTTCAATTTTATATACACTATTGTGACAATTTTTTTTTTATTAATTCAAACAATAAAGACACATCGCCGATTCGAAATAAAATATTTGACTCGACGCGACGCGATATTTGAAATTACGACGTAAGTGAAGTTATGTGAAAGCAATCGATTCGATATATCGAATGAATTGCGATAATCGCAGAATTTGGCGCGACTACTGCGCCACAAAACGCGGCAAAGACGTTGTTGAACCGTTATGATGTCGAACGTGCTTCGATCGCGTGACACGTTACAGAATTCGCATCGCGACGGGTTTCGTGCATAAATTACTTAACCGTGTGACGCGTGTGTACACAACAGTTGTGGAAAAAAAACAGGCCTGAGATCACGCGAGTTACTGTTCTGCGGAGTGAACGCGATCAAAAAACTCAAAGAGTGTTCTCGAATCAGAGAAGAAAAGTTCGATACTCACATGTCTTTGTCGAATCAGCGAACACTATTCTCGTCCCTCGAATGAAAGTACGAAAGCACGAAATGACGTCAGTGGAAGATCACTAAGTTCGGCAACACCCTCGGAATATCCTTGTCCGGAATGCGGAATATCCACACTTCTGCTTTCTCACCGTGCTCCGTTTTCCTACAAGGTACGACCACGAAATATTTTCTTCTATTACACTTTTTTTATAGAGATTGTAGCTCCCCCAAAAAACGGGAACAAGCTATCACTCGCGTAATATCAATTCTCACTGCGATCCGGTATTTCATCCGGTGGAATAAGGTTATGTCTCGTATCGTTGACGCGTAAAACGTTACGTATAAAAGTAAAAAAAGAAAGACGCGGAGATTCGGAAGAAAGGGAAAACGATCGGAGCAGTCACGGTTGCGATATTGCTCCTCCTTTCTTCGCTATGTTTTTTCTTCTATCGATATTCGGTCGTGTTGCTCGCTGCAACGACGTTCGCGGTGTGTCGTGTCAGTTCTCGAATGAAGCACTGAGGAAAGAACTCGTCCTTTGCGCGCGCGCGTTACTGCACACGCGTATATCTATGTACATATATAGACAAGTATAGATATTATATACAACACGAGTGCCCCTGTAATGTCCTTCGTTCCGTGAGCGAACGTTTTTCTTTTTTTGGTCAGAACGGTTACCGCTTCGTAAATTTACACGAACAGTCACTCGCGAGTGCCGTTGCGAGACTGGAACGCGGGGAAACATGTGCGGCCTCTTACATATCGCTCTGGGCGAAGGGGGAGTCGGGGAGAGGAGTAGGGGGAGCCACCGAGGGCTTCGGTGGGGGAAGATCCCACTCCGCGAGCCACGAGAGGGGGTATAATTGGCAAGGACGCGAGACTTCGACGTGTCGCGGTCGCTTGACGTACTACTTTTTTCCTAGCACTTGTTCTTGCTTTCTTGCGGGCACATTGATAAGGAAAGTTATCGAAAAATCCCAGTTTTCTTGAGATCTGAAATAGGATTTCGGAGAGGAAAAAAAAGATCGTTCTATTTTATAGGGAAATACGTTTAGGAAAACTACCGTGAATGTTAAAGATAGGGTGAGAGCTTGTTCCTTTTGGAGCTGGTTAACTATATTTAGAGCCTAGTTTCCACCCGTTGTTGAGGTACAGCGAGGGAAATAAAACACCAAGAGTAGCTAGCATAAACGATGTCTGTTATAAATCGAGTTAACTCGTTGAATTTTTTTAATATCCACTCGTAAATACAAATTACCCAAGAAAATATTACCAGCAATTTTAATTAGTGATTCAGCCTTCTGCACTTAGGTTTTTCGTAATCTCGTTATTTATGGAACTTATTGCACGATGCAAACGAGTCTAATGCGGTAATATCACGCGCGAAATCGTATCTCGGATCTGGTTTACTTATTCTATCGTTAACGATGCACAGGATAGATTAGTAAAATTAATAATTATTAACCAATGTATTTCACATAAATTTCTAAGATGGATAACTCGATGATTTCTAAGATCCCTTTAACATAATAATGTCAGGGGTTAAATATATCGCTCGATCTGGAGAACGATAATCGTAACGTCTCGATCTTTCGGGCTGTCGTTTAATCGCATCAAGATCGGATGACCTTGATTCACTTACGCGTAAGCATGAAACGACAACAGAACGTGCAGGAAGCCCCCTATCTGAAGACAATCGCGACAAATCGCAAGGTAGATTCGTATCGCGACTTCCGCGATGAGGTAAGACCGACGAGACGTAATCGTGATTATAAACTCGTGTCGGCCGTGGCTCGGGGCGGAATCCATTTTTCTCCTTCTCGTAATACACGAACGAAAGGTTTCGCCGGATGATTGCGATATCTCAGCTACCGTAAATTCGTTCGCGAGAATTAGATAATCGTTTTTCGATCCGACACGCTTCTTTGCACGGTCATTTACAACTACGATCGAATTTTCGTTTTTTTTTTTTTATATTTTATTACAATTATCTAATATGGAATTGTCTGTATCTTTTTATTTCTTGTCGATCAATCATTTCGAATCGATATTTATTTACGATTAAGCGCATCTTTTGTGCGCTTCGGATGTGTACAATTGATCGAAATTTCAAATAGGTTTGAGACACGTGGAATTTAAAGTATCGATTTATAATACACTTTATAAGATCTATCTCGGAGATGTCGAGACGTTTTACGATATATTCGGCCAGGGAACGTTGTTCAAGATCAAAACAACACGTTACATAATGCATAAATGAAATAACGCATCGGTTAGAATTGGTTACATAAACTTGCAACAAAAATATCAAAGATTGCATGCTTGTGAAGGAAGAGAGAAAGGAAAGCGGATTTGTGAGTCAGTTTTTAGAAATGGCGCTAACATTTGGTTATTAGGAGCGGTGAAAATATTCTATTTCCTTCCGAAACGAGACACGTTAATGCAATTGCCGGTTACCTAACAAAACGAGTCAAAAGTGAGTGAGAAAAATTGCAAATTCTCTTCAAACCTCCACTCACAATTCTTCGAATTTTTCCACAATCGATACTCTATCGATATCCACGCTTAAACATATTTTTGTCCACACTCGAAATTACAATTTTCTTTTATCGACAAACGATATCCATAAAAACGAAGAAAATAAATCGCGAAAATAAATCCAATTGCCTCCAATTCCACTATAAAACATTCGATCAACGAGTGGATGTTTTCCAAGCGGCGCGTATTTATATCAAAAGCCCTGATGTGTGTCTTTTTAACATCCCCTCCGACCGTATTTGCCGGTCGTGGCGTGGATGTAAAATGTGTCACGCTTACAGAGATGGGGGGACGATAGAAAAAGCACGCACGAGCGCACAGTTTAAGGGGTGCAGGGCTCGGGCACGTGAAAAGTTCAACAGGAAGGAAACATCATGAGCGTATATATACGTACAACACATAGATACACGCATACACACACGCATTCTTCATCTCCTCGCCTCACTCTTCCTTTCACGCGTGTGCCTTTTAAAGGTCCCATGGAAAGCAGCTCGGTAAATAAAGGGCCAGGGCACCATTGCACCGTTCCTCGACTCGTTTCCGTCCAATGTTTAACGACTCGACGGCTATCTGTGGCGTTATCTGCGGCTTCCACCATCTTATCGCTCTTACCCTTACTTTAGAAACACTTCCTCCTCTTTCCTCCCCCATTGAATTCGGTTTAGTTTCTTCTCGCCTTCCATGGATCGATACCATCGCGTTCGTTCTCATCAATTTTGTCCCTCTTATCAATTTTTTTCTCTCTCCATACCAACCTTTCCAATCTGAGCGCGGCTCGCTGCTCCTTCCGCTGCCACCTCCCCTCCCCTCCCCACGATCCAGTTACGCCCTCGTTTGCACGTCCGCAACGCTTGGTCCCCCGGCCAACCGCCCCTGTTGACTTTCCTTTTAACCGTATTTACGGATCCCATCTCTTATTTGTTCCTCCCGCCGCTCGATATAATTTTATTTGCAATCACTCTCCCTCCCTGTTTGCATTAGCCCGTCTTGGTTTTCGGAATCGGTACGAATCTCTTTCTCAACTATCTCCTTCCCTCCCTGGATCCAGTTTGTTTCCATCCCAATCAAAAACATATTCTTCCTTCTCTTCTCTCGATTCTCCAATTTTTAACTTTTATTTAAAGAATTCTAATTCGATTTTTGATCTTTCTCGTGGACGAATACGACGTGTTTTACGGCTTCGTATTTTTAATCTTTCTCCTCCTGGAAACCTTCCGGTTTCAGAACTCAGCTCGCTTCTTTTTCTTCTCCCTTCTTTTCCTTCCCTTTCCTTTCCTTCGTTGCATCAGTAAACAGGTTAGCCAATTTTTCTGGCGCAGGAAGCAGGAACGTGAGAGAAGCGCTGGAATAAGAATGTCTCTCCGGTCGGAGGAGGGGGAGGGAAGGATGAAGGCGAGACGTGCGTTTAAAGCGTGCAAAACCGTGTACAGCGTAAAACCGTGCGCTCGGACGCTACACGTACGTAACACGCACACGAGCATCACGTGTCGCGCATATTGTTCGAGGCAGGTTTTTCGACCGAGATTAAGAGCGAGCACGTAGCTCGCGACTTTGTCCGGTCTAAGTATGCCAAGGATTACCGGTATGAACTTTTACAGGCCGCGAGCGCAATAATCCGATAATATCCGAGCAGGAAACCGGGGGCCGTGTTACAGTGATACTACCGGCGACAGATTAACGAGGGGAACGGTTCGGAAACCGTTCGTATCGGGCCACTTTGGTTTCCTGTGCTAACGAGGAATCCTGCTTTTTAATCCCTCGACAACGGAGAACGAAGATGAGGTAATTTCT